ACTTACAAAGCATGTAGAGGTCTGTACTTTTTATCATAGGTACACTTCAACTGTGAGAGACGGAATCTAAAACAAAAATCCAGAAAATCACATTGTATGATTTTTAAGTAATTCATTTGCATTTTATTGCATGACATAAGTATTTGATACATCAGAAAAGCAGAACTTAATATTTAGTACAGAAACCTTTGTTTCCAATTACAGAGATCATACGTTTCCTGTAGGTCTTGACCAGGTTTGCACACACTGCAGCAGGGATTTTGGCCCACTCCTCCAATACAGACCTTCTCCAGATCCTTCAGGTTTCGTGGCTGTCGCTGGGCAATACGGACTTTCAGCTCCCTCCAAAGATTTTCTATTGGGTTCAGGTCTGGAGACTGGCTAGGCCACTCCAGGACCTTGAGATGCTTCTTACGGAGCCACTCCTTAGTTGCCCTGGCTGTGTGTTTCGGGTCGTTGTCATGCTGGAAGACCCAGCCACGACCCATCTTCAATGCTCTTACTGAGGGAAGGAGGTTGTTGGCCAAGATCTCGCGATACATGGCCCCATCCATCCTCCCCTCAATACGGTGCAGTCGTCCTGTCCCCTTTGCAGAAAAGCATCCCCAAAGAATGATGTTTCCACCTCCATGCTTCACGGTTGGGATGGTGTTCTTGGGGTTGTACTCATCCTTCTTCTTCCTCCAAACACGGCGAGTGGAGTTTAGACCAAAAAGCTCTATTTTTGTCTCATCAGATCACATGACCTTCTCCCATTTCTCCTCTGGATTATCCAGATGATCATTGGCAAACTTCAGACGGGCCTGGACATGCGCTGGCTTGAGCAGGGGGACCTTGCGTGCGCTGCAGGATTTTAATCCATGACGGCGTAGTGTGTTACTAATGGTTTTCTTTGAGACTGTGGTCCCAGCTCTCTTCAGGTCATTGACCAGGTCCTGCCGTGTAGTTCTGGGCTGATCCCTCACCTTCCTCATGATCATTGATGCCCCACGAGGTGAGATCTTGCATGGAGCCCCAGACCGAGGGTGATTGACCGTCATCTTGAACTTCTTCCATTTTCTAATAATTGTGCCAACAGTTGTTGCCTTCTCACCAAGCTGCTTGCCTATTGTCCTGTAGCCCATCCCAGCCTTGTGCAGGTCTACAATTTTATCCCTGATGTCCTTACACAGCTCTCTGGTCTTGGCCATTGTGGAGAGGTTGGAGTCTGTTTGATTGAGTGTGTGGACAGGTGTCTTTTATACAGGTAACGAGTTCAAAGAGGTGCAGTTAATACAGGTAATGAGTGGAGAACAGGAGGGCTTCTTAAAGAAAAACTAACAGGTCTGTGAGAGCTGGAATTCTTACTGGTTGGTAGGTGATCAAATACTTATGTCATGCAATAAAATGCAAATTAATTACTTAAAAATCATACAATGTGATTTTCTGGATTTTTGTGATAAAAATTACAGACCTCTACATGCTTTGTAAGTAGGAAAACCTGCAAAATCGGCAGTGTATCAAATACTTGTTCTCCCCACTGTACATGTACATATTACCTCGACTAACCTGTACCCCCGCACATTGACTTGTGATTCATCACTTCAGAGAACACGTTTCCACTGCTCCAGAGTCCAATGGCGGCGAGCTTTACACCACTCCAGCTAACATTTGGCATTGCGCATAGTGATCTTACGCTTCGATCACACCGACAGCGTCATTGCATTTTGGTACACCAGAAGTACATTCATTTCCAATGGAACGCTGCATTTGCCTTGGAGCATTGCGTTGCAGAGGCAGTTGCAGTGCGTTCTGTGTGGTGCATACATTGGATTCATCGAACGTATGCGTCAAACTGTATGTGTAGATGGCTTGACAGAATTGGTAGCATAAGTTGAATGTTGAACTTTTGTTGCACACATATCCAGATGATGCTCGTTAACATTTCGCGCAATGATGCTGTCGTTGTGATCAAGGCGTTAGGCTTGTGTGCAGCTGCTTGGCCATGGAAACCCATTTCATGAAGCTCCCGATGAACAGTTCTTGTGCTGACGTTGCTTCCAGAGGCAGTTTGGAACTCGGTAGTGAGTGTTGCAACCGAGGACAGACGATTTTGACTCGCTAAGCTACAGCACTCGGCGGTCTCCTTCTGTGAGATAGTGTGGCCTACCTACCACTTTGCAGCTGAGCCGTTGCAGCTCTAGCAGGGCAGAAATTTGACGAACTGACTTGTTGGAAAGGTGGCATCCTATGATGGTGCCATGTTGAAAGTCACTGAGCTTTTCAGTAAGGCCATTCTACTGTCAATGTTTGTCTATGGAGATTGCATGGCTGTGTGCTCGATTTTATACACCTGTCAGCAACGGGTGTGGCTGAAATAGCCGAATCCACTAATTTGAAGGGGTGTCCACATACTTTTGTATATATAGTGTATATAAAAGAACGGGACTGTAATATTACACGCCTACTGCAAAGATTAGTTGAGTATATCGAATGTATTGTCTTTAGGTGCACTATGCCGAATTCGCTCTGCCATTTCCTGTTTGCTAAAATTCTAATAGTTCACCTAATTTCAGTTTATGTGACAAAACAAGCAAGTATAGTGTAGAGAATCATTGTACCATCTTAAATGCTGTGAAATATTTTTCCCATAACCAAAGATATTGAATTGTTTGAAGCTGTTGTACAAAATCGCAAGTAAAAGTCGCAAAAACGAAACTTAAGACCGGGAAGCATAAAAATTGCACACATAGAACAGATCCACCGCTTCTTAGACTTGCTTTCAATGAGAATGACAGATTTATAACTTCCATTTCTATGTGAATTTGGTCGGGTCGCCCAACAAGTTACATATAGCAGCTTTAAAGGCTGTGATGCTGGTGTAAAGGACGTCACGTTGCTTGCTTAGCCAGTACCACTTCCTCCTGATTCAATTGACACCGAGGCTCGAACCCAGGACCTCTGCCTTGCTAGCACACGTGACCGCCCTCCTGAAGCGTTTTATCAGTCGACACCACGCGAAAAGTGGGGACACTTCAGGCTGAGGAGTACGTTTCACACATCCCTATGTACTACACTGGCTGTTTTTTTATTTTATTCCAAACCATTTACAGCAGATTAATGTGTTGTCCTACCTAACCACTACTTTTTAAACCATTCATGTGAAACCAAGCTAATCAACAAACGCAATGTCCCTATGATGCTTATCCAAAGTACCTTATATTTGAATGCTATGGGAGTGAATAATGTGCTGCCTTGGATGTTGGCGTATTGAAACTCAGTTGGCACTGAGCAGATATAATGCAAATGATGCAAGCCACACTGCACAAACTTACAACAATAACATACAGATTATTCCACAGACTTGAGACGTTTCTGACCATCGATTTGTCATTTTAGCTGATCTCTTGTTTCTTTGTTGTTTGATTTAGCTGCTTTAGCAATTGTCTCATTGCTAACCAGTGTCTCCTCCCTTTAACTTCGGCTAACATTATAGGGCTGGTTTTGACATCCAGCTTTTTAGGGTACAATCTACAGTACATGAGAGTGCATGGGAAGGTGGTGTTCATAGTGTACCCAGAGAAGGATTGTGAGGATTAGATTGTTGGCTAAAACCTATGGTTGAACACAGGGTTCTAAAATTAGTTTTTATATACAGTTAATAATCACTTTAGAATTGAACACAAACAGGGTTTGAACGTTCACCCAACCTGGTTTGAACCCGTAACATGGTTACTAAATGGTAGTGTGGATAAGGGCTTCTGTTAAATCACATGTGAATGTGAGAGGCAAACTCAGTGTCTGTGTGTATCCTGGAATGATCAAATCAGTCAACCTATCCCTATCATAGTCTACATACTGAATTTCCATATCAGTGCTCATCACTAACCAAAAGCAAAACATTTCAATTTGGATCAGTTTAATACCCTGTATTTTGCTTTATGCTAATGTGGCCGACTGGATTCAAACTCTGTCTCCTGTGTGAACTTGCTGGGCTAAAGCTTAGGCATTAGCTTGCTGAGCTAGCACAAGATCTCCTGGACAATTGTATGTAAAAAAAAAAAAAAAGGTGAGGTGTTTAATTATTAATTAATTATTATTAATTTACTTGTTATTTGAGGTGCATTTGTCACCTCAAAATTTCTCAGAAGAGTTGACTAGTCAACCATCATCTGTGATCTACTGTTTTCATATTGACACCTGCTAGTATTATTTAATCAGAGGTTGTTATTGTATAATCTCATCAATAACTACTTTCCTGGATGCCAACAATGATGCATTGGGTGACACAGGTGTTTCTCTATATTATCAATCAGCAGGGTGTTGCTGTTCACCCATGTGGTCTAATTCATCTGGAGATGGATGAACGAATGTTGACAGGCTAGGTATGGTGAAGAAGAGTGTGTGAGTCCACCAACAGCACAGGGAAGGACACAGAGCCAAAACAGACTGGAGAGATAGTGTGGATTATTTAGACATTGATGATCATGTGTCATAACAGCATGGCCCTTGCAGACATAACTGGACACATTGCTTACAAACAGTGTTCAATATTCTCGAAAATGTTCTGGATTAAATCACACTGGATTGATTCAGATTTCCATTTATTACTCTCTTACATTATAATTTAAAATGATTCATTGCAATACAGTGGTTCTCGCTCAAATAAAAATGTATTGTATCATCACACTTCTTGGTAGAAGAAACACATTTCAGCTGATATTTGAGAGCATGTGGCGGCAAACACTGCATGAATTAATAATTTATTCGAGTTTAAAAATGGCACTTGAGTCTTTGGCTCCATTCCAGCAACCCACGCGCAAACTGAATATGATATTATTACTGTTTCCAATTTTAGAAGATTGGCTCCAATTGCACAGTTGATAGTTTCCCCTTCATTTATTATCGGAACATTACGACTAGATAAGTATTGCCACCCAAGCATGGACAGCGACAATCCCCCCCTTTGTAGCCAATGTTAACAGTGTAAAGATACACGGTGAAAAACTTTTTTAAATAATTCAGTGGTTTAATATCTTACTTGTGGTGTTGTACTTTACCCCGTTGATGTACTCTGGACAGGGTCTCTCCATCATCCGTCCGGTGTTGCTCCTTGGCCAACATGTTCCAATCTCATCAGTTGTGGCATTGCAATACAAACCTTTAAATAAACAAAAAGGCGTTTAAATAATGATATTTAATTGCCTAAGACGTCAAGGAAGAGCATTAACCATTGATGACGGTGTCAAAATCCCCCCAAATCGTACCGTCAATATCCATCAAAGAGAACGATGCGTTTTCGTAGAAAGTGTTTTGAAAGGCATCCATCAAACTACAGTTTGGGTCCCCAAACTCCCCAAAGATTATTTGGTAAATCGTAGCATCCATGGTTCAATTGATACGTTAAATCAAAGAGCTAGGCTTGAAGTCCGAAAAGCTCCCAACACTTTGCCCACTACGTGCATGTGTTTCATCCAAGATAGAATGGCAAGAAATAGTGCGCCCGTTTCAAACCCGTGGAAAACTGCTCGTCCAATTGACGCACTCAGAATTCTGACTCCACGTAGGCTACTCGAGCGTTTCCTACCCTCTCCTCCTCACACAGCTCCCTGAACAATCAGATTGATGCACCGAGCCTCAGCCTACTACCACAAATTCATCATCTTTCTGTGGAATTATGCAAAAATTGTAAAAGTGAGTTAAATTCATACAGAAAGACGGGTTATTTTCCGCACCGCCCATCTGTTCAGTCTCTTGACAGCCGGTGTGTGAGTTATTGAGACAAATGCATCCAACTTTGAAAATAACAATCTGGTAGCAGTGGGTGATCCAATGTACTGATGAAAGCACTGTTGGAAACTATATTTTATGAGAGAGAGAGAGAGAGAGAGAGAGAGAGAGAGAGAGAGAGAGAGAGAGAGAGAGAGAGAGAGAGAGAGAGAGAGAGAGAGGAGAGAGAGAGAGAGAGAGAGAGAGAGAGAGAGAGAGAGAGAGAGAGCTGGTTACAGATACATGTGGGTGACATAAATGTGGCTTTAAATAGCATTCAGTGGCATGTAGCCTAGGGAATATATAAATAACTATGTTCTATTTAAATGTTTAAATCCAAAACACAGATCATTTAACATTTCAAATGTTTGTTTTTTTACTAATGGAAATTCCAGAAAATTGTTTTAAACTAACTACACTCTGTTTTCCTCTCAGCATCCCCTCAAAGGGACCCTTACTGACTAATCTCGTATTCTATTTACAAATAAGATCATTTTTGTAACAGTTAGTCAGATTACGATCAGAATAGGTTTTCCATACCCCTGAGTTATGCCAAGCATCGTTGTGAGACTCAGAATTCCCTAATATAATTTGTGTTATCCATCTGAAGTTCTGACTCCAGGGAAAAGTGTCTATTTCAATGCATTTTAATGTCGGCCTATCTATTTTGTGTGGGTGAAAAAGCTGTTACGTTGATAAAGGAATGAGCCTATACCCAGGCCATCGCTAAACGGTTGCGAAATTGCATGAAAAAAATGACACAAACAAACTTTTGAAGATGTCACTTTTGATATAAATGTTGACATAGCTTTTTATATAGCTTTTGATACATGTCCTGTAGCAACACGTTCTACAATGCTTTCTGTAATACATATGTATCACCATTATGTCATCACAGACTCTGACGATCTATCTGTTTATTTGTTCAATTAGACTCATGACCTTTATCTAAATGATAGAGTTCTCTCAGTTTTGCACTGGACTCGCACATACAATTACTGTCCCATCTCATTTACTGTAATATGCAGTCTAGACACGTATTAGGAGATCTGAAACATACACGTCCATCCGTCCCGCAACCCAGCTCTGTGAGTGTCAACTTCAGCACAGAGTAGCCTAGTGGAGGAAGTTTTAATTGCCCATGTCTATTAATAGCACCACCTAAATGTTAATGTATTCCCCAGAGCAGGACTCTGTGCTAAGCTGTTAAAGGCTACCAGCGATGGAATTAGACTGGCTATCATTATCACCATCATGATGATGATGATGATTATTATTAATTTACTTGTTATGCTCGATATTCCATTAGGCTAATGGGGGAAGCAGATAAGTAAACAAGTCGGTAAATAACATAGATAGGCCTATAAATTGGATGTGCAGGGAGGACAAAGGGACAGTAGTCACATATTGGCTGTCATACTATATAGCCTGTGCTTCAGCTGTGAAATGTTCAGACTGGTTCAAAGTAAGTCTTTAAGATTCTGAACTAAGTAAATCTTTAAGATGCTGAATTTTGGCTTAATGTTCTTTAAGCGCCTCTCTCAATTGTTTGCGCAATAGGGACATTACATATAATTAAAATCTAGTGAGACTTGTGTGATAATGGCATGCTAATGGACAGCACTTGTGCCTTTATTTTCTAGACATTTCCTTGATTGTAATTTAACTGATTAAAATGAAACTGCCAAGTGATCATTAATTTGAGTTTGTCAGTGTTATTCCCTGAATGCAGAATCGTGAAATTAAAAAGGCTTTTTGCATATTGACTGATATGTCTTTACAGAAAATAAAGTGGCTGTGGCATAAGACAATTATATTTCAGTTTGAATAAAACTAATAGCAATGCATTTGATTGCTTTTCCAAGAGCATGTTGGAGGAAAATGTTTTTGTTTTGAATTTATTTGCCTAAAAAGGTTTTTAAACAAATAGCCTGGGGGGGTCTGTAAACGTTGGGACAATAGACTAGACCTGCAGTCATCAACTCTTTGCATCTTAATGTAGTCTGTGCAGGTCCAATAAAATACGCAAGAGAATGGGAGCAGCAGTCGGGAGAGGACGTGTTTTTCTCTAGCTCTCTAGCTCTCTAGCTGGAGGTAAGCAAACTTCTCATTTGGTGTTGAGTATAGCTTAACCATGCATTAGATCGTAGGTTGGTAGTTAGTTGTAGTTAGGTATTGTATTTATTATAGGTTAGTATTGTAGTATTGTAGTATTGTTGTTATTGTAGGTTTCCGTAGGTTATTGTAGGCTAGTATTGAAGCTCGAGGCTAGCTAGCTCTCTAGCTGGAGGTAAGCAAACTTCTCATTTGGTGTTGAGTATAGCTTAACCATGCATTAGATCGTAGGTTGGTAGTTAGTGTAGTTTGGTATTGTATTTATTATTATAGGTTAGTATAGTTGTTGTTGTAGTATTGTTGTTATTGTAGGTTTCCGTAGGCTATTGTAGGTTAGTATCGAAGCACGAGGCTAGCTAGCTAGCGGGTAGCTACTGGTAACGATTAGCTGTCCCACTGTTAAATGTGCTTCTAGCCAACGTTTAATTTTTGCTGCGTTCTGCGTTATGTAAGGAACTAGACACGGACATGAATCATCTGTTTAGTGTGCTAACACACTCTTGGCAGTTTGTTGTAACCAAGTATTGGTGCTAATTGTGTGTTAATGGATGCTATCTTGCTAGTCAGCTACGGCGTCATAGCTAGGTATCGTGGGTAGCTACTGTGTCTTGGCAGTGTCTTCCGCCGTGCCGGCTGTAGCACGAAGCGAGCTAATTAGCCGTTTTTTTCGAACAGAGTCAGAGTCAACACAGTAGCCATTGTGTGCCGGGTGTAGCACGAAGCTAGCTAGCTAGCCGTTCTTAAAACAAAGCCAACACAGTGGCCATTGCTAGCTACCCAGCACGACCTAGCTACCCAGCACGACCAGCGGACGGTACGGTAGCAGCTAATTACAATATACTTGTCCTAGCTAGCCAATGTTGAATCATTGCTGCGCCATGAAAGGAACTTGACACAGACACGAATGATCTGTTTAGTGTGTTATCACACTATTGGTGGTTTGCTGTGACCAAGTGTTTGTGCTTGGCTGTGTGTTACTGGATGCTGGCATGCTGGTTAGCTAGTTAACACACTATTGGTGGTTTGTTGTGAGTATTTGTGCTTAACTGTGTGTTAAACTGTGTGTTATTGGATGCTAGCATGCTAGTCAGCTATGGTGTCATAGTTGGCTAGCTGAATAAAGTGGGTTTGAGTTTATTCCTTTAAACATTGAACAACTGTTCAGTGAAACAATTTTAGTTTCTGAGGTAGAAGTTTTTGGTGAGGGAGGCCCCCCTCTCTCCTCTCCCAGATGCTTAGCTCATTTCATTCCGATCTCCTCTGCATTTTTGTAGCCATTTGCTACAGCCTGTCAACTATGCCTCTGCCTATCCCTGTTCTCTCCTCTCTGCGCAGGCTACACAAACAACGCACAACACCGCGCGGCTGCTGCCTCTCCAACCTGGTGGTCCCTGCTCGCACCCCTCACCTGGAGTTCCAGGTCGCAGGCAGCCTCTGGAACTGCCGTTCTGCTGCCAACAAAGCTGACTTCATCCCAGCCTATGCCAACCTCCAGTCCCTCGACTTCCTGGCGCTGACGGAAACATGGATCACCACTGAAAACACGGCTACTCCTACTGCTCTCTCCTCGTCTGACCATGTGTTCTCGCATACCCCGAGAGCATCTGGTCAGAGGGGTGGTGGTACAGGAATCCTCATCTCTCCCAAGTGGACATTCTCAATTTTTCCCCTAACCCATCTGTCTATCTCCTCATTTGAATTCCATGCTGTCACAGTCACTAACCCATTTAAGCTTAATATCCTTGTCATCTATCGCCCTCCAGGTTCCCTTGGAGAGTTCATTAACGAGCTTGACGCCTTGATAAGTTCCTTTCCTGAGGATGGCTCACCCCTCACAGTTTTGGGGGATTTCAACCTCCCTATGTCCACGTTTGACTCATTTCTCTCTGCCTCCTTCTTTCCACTCCTCTCCTCTTTTGACCTCACCCTCTCACCGTCCCCCCCTACTCACAAGGCAGGCAATACGCTTGACCTCATCTTCACCAGATGCTGCTCCTCTACTAATCTCACTGCAACTCCCCTCCAAGTCTCCGACCACTACTTTGTTTCCTTTTCTCTCTCGCTCTCCTCCCACACTACTCACTCTGCCCCTACACAGATGGTAATGCGCCGCCGCAACCTTCGCTCTCTCTCTCCCACTACTCTCTCCTCTTCCATCCTATCATCTCTTCCCTCTGCTCAATCCTTCTCCCTCCAATCTCCTGATTCTGCCTCCTCAACCCTCCTCTCCTCCCTTTCTGCATCCTTTGACTCTCTGTGTCCCCTATCCTCCCGGCCGGCTCGGTCCTCCCCCCCAGCTCCGTGGCTTGATGACTCACTGCGAGCTCACAGAACAGAGCTCCGGGCAGCGGAGAAGGAAATGGAAGAAAACTAAACTCCCTACCGACCTGGCATCTTTTCACTCCCTCCTCTCTACATTTTCTTCATCTGTTTCTGCTGCTAAGGCCACCTTCTACCACTCTAAATTCCAAGCATCTGCCTCTAACCCTAGGAAGCTCTTTGCC